AGGCTCGCCGCGCCGTGGCCGCCGCTCATTGGCCTCTGTGGACTTCGCTCGCGTGCATGGCCAATGGGAAGCGGCCGGGTAGAGGTTACCGGTTTGGGTCCCCACCCCAACCCCCCGTGGGGCCAGGGACCAGCCGGGGAGCAGAGCGTGATGGGGCGGGGTGGGGATGGGCGGGGAATGAAGGGGCGGGATCAGTGGATGTCGGGCTCTGTCCTTGCGGGTACCCCTTATCTCCATAAGTTTTCCTGGGCTAATTGAAGACTCCAAGGCTGAGGTCTTCATTTCTCCCAGTCCCTCATTCTTTTTCCTCTTTGCCCCTCTCGTGGCCTCTTCCAGTTCTCACTCTTTGATCTGTCTCTTTCTGTTGGGAGAATAGCCCCGGGTCTTCAAGTGCGTTTACGACCTTATTAAATGTCATACTTATTTCTTTGTACGCGGACTGAGTATCCAGTGAAAGCCATTTGCCGAGCTTACTCGGTATATAGCATCATTGCACACTTCTTTATTTTGTTAAAGTGACTTCAAAGCCTTGTTCACTCACGTGACCCCCGTGACCCTCAGAGCTTAAAGAGCAGGGTTCCTCGGTCTTGGCGGTGGGGGATGGAAACTAAAATGTATCACCTGGCCAATAGAGTGCTCTACAATATTTGCAAAGGTGTTTTAAAGCTAACAGAGTAAGACACAATTAAAAATAATGCCTGGGGATGCCGCTCTGCTGGTAGAGCGCTTGCCTAGTATACACGAAGCCCTGGGGTGGACCTGGGCCACTACAGAAGCACTTCCTTTCTCTACTTATATGCAGAATTTATATTTATATATAGGATTCCCTGCATAGGGATGGTGCCACCCACAGTGGGCATGTCTTCCTACATCAGAGAGCACAATCAAGGTAATCCTCCAGATAGGTCCACAGACCGCCTTGATCCAGACAATACCTCACGGTGACTCCCTTCTCAGGTGTTTTTAGATTGTGTCACTTTGATAATTTGCCCGTCACAGAAGGAGACAAGGAATTCATGGGTGAGGGTTTCTTTTGTATCTGCAGTCAAAGTCTCTTTTATACTTCAGCTTTTAGATTCAAAGACTCCGTTTAAGAAGAGCCAGAGTAGAAACTTTTGATTTCTTTTGTTTCCAGTAGCATCTAGATCAGTGATTCTCAACCTTCCTCATGCTGTGACCCTTTAACACAGTTCCGCATGTTGTGGTGACCCCCAATCATAAAAGTATTTTCATTGCTACTTCTTAACTGTATTGCAGTACTGTTATGCATCATAATGTAAATATCTGATATGCAGGATATCTGATCTACTACCCCTGTGAAAGGGTTGGTTAACCCCGAAGGGGTCACGACCCACAGGTTGACAGTCACTGACTTGACCTACAACTGGTGCAGAACAGCCAATATGTCCCATTCAGCCACTTCTGTCATAATTTAATGCGAGCCCTCTGCCTGGATAGCCACTTGTCAATGGCCCCAGGCTGGGGATTTGCACGTGTTTTCCTTCACTGCCTACGGTTGTGAGGTGTTGCCAGCACTTTGCATTAAGCTGGAATGCAAATAGTCTGTCACGCATGAGGTGTCTCCTTGCCAATGGCGCATGAGGTGTCTCCTTGCCAATGGCCTGTGGCTGGGCAGGAAGATGAGACCGTGTGGGCCTTTGGCCACTGTGCTCCGCCAGCCTGCTGATGAGCCAGGGAAGCCACCCAAGTGCCCGTCAACAGCGATCATAGAAAGTGTGAAGCCTTGAGTTGCTGAGTTTGCTGACCAAGTTTGGTGGTTTGAATAAGGATGCCACCCCCATCCTATCTTTGACTGCTTGGCCACTAGGGAGTGGTACTCTTTGAAGAGGGCACCAGATCTCATTACAGACAGGTGTGAGCCACCCTGTGGTAGCTAGGAGTTGAGCCCAGGTCCTTTGGAAGAGCAGCCAGTGCCTTTAACCGCTGAGCCATCTCTCCAGCCTGGCGCTACTTGAAAGTATTAGGAAGTGTGGCCTTGTTGGAGGAAACAAGTCACTAAGGATGGGCTTTGAGGTTTCAAAAAGCCCATTCCAAGCCCAGAGTCTCTCTCTGCCTGCTGCCCGCAGATCCAGATGTAGAGCGCTTAGCTCCTTCTCCAGCACCCTGTCTGCTTGTGTGCTGCTGTATTCCCACCATGATGGGAATGGGCTAAACCTCTGAACTGTTAGCCAGCCCTGGTTAAATGCTTTGTTTCTTAAGAGTTGCTGAGGTCATGGTGTCTCTTTACAGCAATCAAACACTGACGAGGACACCAAGCTAAGGTCTTACACCATGGAGAGCCCTCGAAGGGGACTGAAGTGTGGGACAGGCTACCACCTTAAGACTCTTTTCCTTTGTCCAGGGCCTCCATTCAGTCCGGCCCTATAGAAAGCACAGGGTTTGTTGGCCCTGAACTTCTTGTTCTTACTGGGCCATGGACTCTGAGGCTGATGGGCAAGAGTACCTTCTATGTTGGCTGGGGAAGCAGGAGACAGACCAGACATTCTTCCTCTCCGGGGGCCTGACAGAAAAAGAGCTTAGCTAGGTCCTTCGATTATACGTTTCTGGTGCTGACTTCCTTCCTTGTCTTAGTATCCCCAGTGGCTACAGATTTTCTAGGTCTCAGTTTCCTTAGATGCCAAATATGTATTGTAATAATTGTACCCATCTGTGAGGGTATTAAAAAACTTGAAATTGTTCATGGACTAAATCTCTTTGTAGTAACCTCTGGAGTAATAGCAGGTTCTGAGGCAAAAGAAAATTAATATCTGTAACGCTCTGTTTAAGTTGTACAGGTGTGTGTACCCGTGTATCCATGCCCACGGGAATATAGCTGTCGAGTATCTTTTTCTACTTCTCTCTATATTATCTCCTTGAGATAGACTCTCTCCTAAACCTGGAGCCCGCAGCTTTGCCAGCTATACTGGCTGGCCGGAGAGTGGTAGCGGTCCTGTTGCGCTCTGGCCACTTCCCTTCCCCATCACCCAACCCTGCTCTGCTTTTTACCAGAGTGCCAGGGATCAGAACCCAGGTCCGCAGGTTTTGCAGGGAATGGATGCTCTTACCCACCGAACCCTCTTCCCAGTCCCTCAACCTTGATTTTTATGAAAAACAAATCTGCTTTAAAATAAAGATTTTGCTTATAATTTAATTATCACATTTTCTCCCTCCGTCCTTCGTTCTTCCTTTCAGTATTTTGTGACAGGGTCTTGCTAAGAAGCCTAGGCTAGCCCCAAACTGGCGATTTCTCTGACTCACCCCCTCTAGTGCTAGGATTACAAATGTAAGCCACTAGGCCTCGCTTGGTTTTTTTTAGGTTGTATTTACATATAATTTCTCTTTTAAAAAAAAACTCTGTGTGTGTGTGTGTGTGTGTGTGCGTGCGTGCATGTGTACGTACAAATCAATACTGTCAGTTGACAGGATCTAGAATCAACTAGGATTGATTGTGAGGGAGTGTCTCGATTGGGTTAGATGAGAGGGGATCACCCACCTTCCATGTGGGCAGCACCGCGCTGTGGGCTTGGGATAAACTTGAGAAATCAAGCTGAGCACTGCATCCTTCTCTCCCTGACTGCGGATGCAGTAGGACCAGCTGCCCCACACTCCCGCCCTGATGCCTTCCCTGCCGTGGACTGTGCCCTCAAACTGTGAGCCAAAACAAACCCTTCCTTCAGCCAGCGGCTGTTGTCACAGCACCAAATAAAATAACTATCACACCCTCTTCTGGAGGGGCACCAAGGACAGTGGTTCTTCCGTGGTGCTTCACAGCCAGTCCCCCTTGGCTAGGCAGGTGGTTACTGTTCCCGTCCCCCAAGCTCTCAGACACACACATACCTGCTTTCTCTGGTGTGGCCTGTGTCTTTGCCAAAAGTCACAAGGATGTTGACTTTGGGCTTTGCAAACAAAAGATCCTGGCTTATCAGGGTCTGCTCTTGTCAGAGGCACAGGTTTATTACATATAGTTTTCTTCCTCATTCACAGGTCTGAACCATTAGCAGAAATTCTCTCTTCCATGCATGCAGATCCTGCTCCGGTTGCCAGAGTGCTTGCCTAGCATGCAGGAAGGCCTGGCTTGCACCTTCAGTACCACACCTCCAGTTACAACATGGTGACCCATTCCTGTAACCCTAGCATTCAGGAGGTATAGGCAGGAGGATCAGTAATCCAAGGTTATCCTTGGCTATATAGCATGTTGGAGGCTAGTTTGGCCACATGCAGTCCTGTCAAAACAAAAACAAAAACACAAAATCTGGGTCTGGCATACTTGTGTACACCTTTAATCCCAGCCCTTGGTAGACAGAGGCCAGCCTGGTCTATATGTCGAGTAACTGTACAACCAGGGCTGCATAGATAGTCCTTGTCTCAAAAAAAAACAAAAACAGGGCCAACAGGACTTCTCAATGGATAAAAGCCTTTGCCGAAGGCTGGTGACCTGAGTTCAGTTCCTGGAACTTCAGGAAGGAAGGAGAGAACCAACTCTTGAAAGTTACCTTCAGGCTTGCATGTTCTCTCTCTCTCTCTCTCTCTCTCACACACACACACA